AGGAGAACCACCCCACAAAACATATATATACACACAGTGAGAGAGAAAGGGACTGCAGTGATCCTCTGTTATTATTATTGTTATTGCAGGCTCCTTCCATAGCAAAAGTCCCAATTCTGTTGGTAACGCCTCTCATGCCCGTCCACTTCCCTCCCCGCTGCCGTCTCCAGTGTTGACTCGCCAACCGTCTTCTCATCTCGGCGGGTGTGCGTCCTTCACAAAAAACCAGCGACCATCAGAGGAGTCATGTCCCGATGCGTGGCCCCACATACCCGCGAGGTGCGTTAGGGGCACCCCTGCCAAGTACTCTATTCTGTGCTGCTCCCAACATGCATGGGCGGGTCAACGGCGAGGTTCCCACAACTGCTTCCAGGCCTCCCTTTAAACCACTTCTCTCCATGCGGTTTCCCACCCATCGTGAGATGCGTGTGGCGTTCACTGGCCGCATACACCGTGCTCGTGAGTACACACCGACGGCTGTGCCAAAAGTCAATGGACAGAAAAGAAATACACTCCACAAGGTCCAAACGGTTGCTGTGCGCACTAACTTCCCCTCGAAATTCGGCACAAAACCCCAAAAAGGGATGAGCGTGCATCAGAAAAAAAATAATAACTAAAAAAGCGCCCTGCAGAGTAGTCCTCCTCCTTGAGCAGGTTGGTTGTGGCACCCCAACATCAACGATGATGCCCCATTCCTTCTGCCGTCCGCAATTCGCCTACTCTGTTACCAGGCGGTAAGGAGTAAAGGAAGGGATAAAAGGAAAAAAGGAAAACCTGCACACAAGTCACACGCCAGTCAACATGCACACACGCAGAATAAATAATAAATAAAAGTCACTCCCAAGTTGCTGCCGAAAAAAAAAAAATGTGCCTTTCGTCGCGTCCATCTCTCACTGTAAGTGGTGCGCCGACTGTTTTCTGTCTCATTGTTGGATGGTAATGAAGGAAAATAATAATAAATAATAATAAATAAATAATAACAACACGCCCTTTCTTTCTTTCTTTCTTTCCCCCCTCTCTTTACACACACGTGTGTGTGGCCACACGAAGGGAAAAGAAGGGCACCGCAATGAGCATCCACACAAATGGAAAAAAAGAGTGACAGAAGGAAGAGAGAAAAGAAAAGAAAAAAAGAATCCAAAAAAAAAGTCAAATAAATCAGCAAACAGATATAAATATATAAAAAAAAGGATCCACACAAAAAATTAAACAAATAAACAAAAAAAAAAGATAAAAAATGACATACCGGCAAACAAGTGGTCCAGAAATTCACTATAAATACTATGCATGTATGCATGTATACACACCTACACGGGGACGCACACCGCACATGCATCCAGGTTGATTATATACATATATATATATGTGTGTGTGTGTGTGTGAGTCCTTGTGTATTTGTGTTTATTGCAGGCACGCACAGTCGTAAAAAAAAAAACCGTCAATATTCACTTCAAAATAAAAATAATTGCCTTCTTTTTTTAATTTAATACATTCACTTATTTGAATTCCTTTTTATTTTTACTTTTTTGTTTTTGTTTTATATAAAAATAAGAAAAAAAAAAGAGGAGGAGACGTGTGCGGAGGAGTTTATTTTGCGGCGAGAGATGAAATGTGGCGCTGGGGTTTAACGTGTGCGGAGGAGTCCCTCCTTCTCTTTTTTTCTCCCTAATATTTCTGTCCTCCTCCGCCCTCCGCCCTCCCCACTTATTTGTGGCAGGAATAAACTCAAATGGCACCCCCCGTTCCTCCTCCACACAATCCCCCTATTCTCCACTTCACCCCGTCATTCTTCCTTTTTGATTCCCCCTCCTTCTTTTGGCGGAGTGTTGGCCGCCAGAACATAATGGCCGTTAAAAAAAAAAAGAGAGAGAGAGAGAGAGAGAGAGAGCGCCCCTCACGCTGCAATGCCTCGTGCCACGCCAGCGGTGTTAGTTGGCAAAGTCGCGGGCAACCCCACATGCTTCTTCCACCTCCCTCCTCCTCTCTGTATGAGACAAGGCAAACATGTGGATATGCAGTCACTCGGCACAACAATACGGCAACAACCCCCCACGCAAAAACACAAACACAAAAAATACATAAATAAATCAAAGAGAAAAGCATAAAAAAAAAGTACAAAAAACAACAACAACACTTAAGCGTGCTTCCTTGCATGTGCGGAAGGGAATAAGTAATTGAATAATTCATCAAAAAAAAATTCACACTTCGCTGGGGCCTCTTGTATCTTTCCTTCTTCTTCCCTTTTCCCAGAATGGTACCTACTGGCTGTCGCCTTCCCTATTTGCTTTATATATGTATTGCTTTTTTTTGCTTCAACTCCTTTTTTTGTTTATTATGACTTCTTTCCCCTCCTCCTCCTCCTCTCATTTTTTTTTCTGCGCAGAGGCACGTCGTCAGCTTGAAGGCTTGGCAATACCCATTGCGGCAAAACTGGCATTCACGAGTTCGTCCACTTTACCTTCCAGGCCAAATTTCTTCTCCCTTCCGGTGTTTGACACCTTCAGCGAAGTGTCGGGGCAAATGTACTGGGCGCCCGGCTCCTGGTAGACCACCTCCTCCGAGCCCTGCGTGGGGTTGCGGCTGAAGTTGTCCGGCCGTATCTTCGGTGCCTCCAAAGACGCATTTAACCGCTCGCGGCGATGACCGAGCAGCTTGTCAAGCGGCATGCCAACAATCTCGTCGTGTGAGCGCGATCGCTCCACCTCCATTTGATGCCGTACGGATTTCATGTCAGCGCCGGAGAGAATTGTTTGACCGCCGGTGCCCTCCAACGGGATGGCCGCAACGTCGTCATGCGACCGCGCATTTTGCTCCCGCAGGACCTCCCGCCACACCCTCGCCAGATGTACCTTCGGGATGAGGCAGCTGAAGGAGTGGTCAAATCCATCGAGGGGCGAGAACTTGAAGCGGCGCGTCTTCTCCTTTGTGTTGAAGTACTCGCGCACGCTGCTGGCCCAGTCCGCATCCAAAAACTCCGTCGCGCGGCGGATGCCGTTGGATGCAAAGCACGCCTCCCGAAGAATGGAGCACACGTTAAGAACCACCTTTTTTCCGGAGAAGTTCGAGATGGCGACGGGGCCATACACTGGTGGCTTGGGAATAAAGAGCACGTCCGGTGACGGATCGTCCGTGAGAAATGCAAAAAAGGGACGTTTCGCAACGGTGTTATATTCAAAAGTATTTACATTATAAAGATGAATCCACCGCGGAATCGTTCCATTTTCACGCATCACCAATACCATGTCGTGAGTGATGCAGAGATATGCGTTTGGCAGCCACACTTCTGCGTTCCCTTCGTGATCATGGCCCACAAGATCCCCACGAATAAAAACATAAAAGACGGAATTCTCCAGTTCCATAAATGTGTGCCAAAGATGCATGGGAATGTGCCCAAAAGGGATGCCATTGCGTGGGTCGTATGGCGGGAGGCCACGGTAGGGGCGTATGGTCAGTCGGTCAAAGCCAAGCACCATTTGCACGATATACCACACCTGCCGGAAGTCCTCCTCGTTACAGCAGCGTATTGTGGCAACGATGTGCCGCTCCTTCGCCGAGGTACTGCGCGGGGACTGGATTGTACGCACCTGATCTGTTTCACTCAAAGCCGACTGGGAGCTTACTGAGATGGCTGAGGCTGTCGCACGCAGCCCTTGATTGCGGCTGAGTGTTGAGAACTGGTCTCGCAGCAATTCGTACAGTTGGCACAGACGGAACGGGTCTCGGTTCGCCGGTTCCAGAGTTGCTCCCTGCAACCCATCGCCCTCCGTGGCCGCAGGGATCAGCAGCGGCTCCGCCGGTGGCTCATCACTCGCCAAGGCACGCGTCCTGCCGTGTAGCTCCAGCGTAAAGAAGTCCGTTTCCTTCAGGTGCGGGTCGTCCAGGTGGAACTCGTGCACAGTGGACACGACCACCAGCTTGGTGACCTTAAACTTCTTCTTCCACGGCGGTGCGGTTGGGCTCCCTGTCGGCCAATGCGTCTCGGTGGCACCGTTGGGGCTGCGATTGACGCACTTCTCACGCTCCGTGTAGTACATGTGGCGCCGCTGTGAGTCGAAGGCGAAGAGACGCATCGACCAGCCCTCAAAGTAAGTGCCCTGCTTCTCCGCCCGGAAGTAATACATGATTCGTAGACACGCAATTTAATGTCGTTCCTCTCGTAATCGTTAGGGAGGGGAAAAAATGGGAGAGTCCT